GATGGCATTGCTGACTTCTTCCAAACTAGGCAGTGCTGCAAGCTCGTCCCTGGTTTGTTGTTGCGGGATTTGATATATATACACATACACACACACACACACATACACATATACATATATATACACACACACATATCAGTTAAAAGCAATTAAATCACGTCATAAATACATATAGAATCCATTAAAACTATAAAAATTCAGGACCAATTCCTCATCCGTTCTAAGCCGTTCCGTGTTCATATTACAATTCTGTGTTTATCTGGTCACGCTGAAGCTCCAAGCGCTTGCTCAAAGAGCCAAGTTTGCACCCTTTTCAAAAAGGCAGGAGGAATGGGGCCGATCTAATATCCCTGGGAAGGGAGTTCCACAGCTGAGGGGCCACCACTGAGAAGGCCCTGTCTTTTGTCCCTGCCAGAGGTAGGCGCAACCAAGAGCAGGGCCTCCACAGATGGTCTTAAATTCCTAGAAGGTTCATGGGGAGAGATGCATTCGGATAGATAAGCTGCATTAATATTTCCATCATCATCATCATCATCATCATCATCATCATCATCCTACAGTGTTAATACACCTGGACTTGCCTATGTGAAACTCTCACTTCAAGAGACTGGGGATTCCAATGAGAATTTCTTATTTTGCATTAATATTTCCATCATCATCATCATCATCATCCTATAGTGCAGATGCACCCCGGATTTGCCTATGTGACTCTCTTACATTCAGTGAGTGTTTCTTTCTTTGCATTAATATTTCCATAATCATCATCATCATCATTATCATCCTACAGTGTTAATACACCTAGATCTGCAGATGAGAATCTCTCCCTTCCAAGAAAATAGAGATTTCAGTGAGAATTTCTTCTTTTGCATTAATATTTCCATTAGGCCTGTGCGGTTTCGTTCGTTAATTTCGTTATTCGTAAAACATTCGTTATTTTTAGCATTTACGAAGCGATATCAAAACATTTTTTCAAACCCGGAAGGGTTTTAAAATAACGAAGCGGCATCCCCCATCCTTTTAACGAGCTTCCGCCCGTTTCGTAAATTGGATGGAGGATGCTGGTGCCTGCTGCCTGGGAACCAATCCGGCGCTCCCAAGCAGTGCTCCTTGACTGTTTGTTTTTGATTGGCCAGCGAGCCCTTTCAAAGCGGCTCCGCGCGGCCGGCCGTAGCTCATTGCTGCAGAGGGCGAGGGAGAGAGAAGAGGTTGGCTTGGCAATGGCTAGCGAGCAACTGGATTGGATTCATTCATTCCTTGCTTGGATTCATTCCTTGCTGCTGTGAGTGCTGCTTATATTCCTTGCTTGGATTCATTACTTCCTTCGGTTTTTGTGAATTTGTTTCTTAATTTTTTGGTTAATTTTCCATTTTTAAATATTTTTTAATATTATTTTTTAATATTATTTAATATTATTTTTCTTAAAAAATACAAAAAATATTCTAAAAAAGAAAAGACTCTTCTGTTGCTGTGTGCTCTCATTTGCTGTCTCTTGCCTGTGTTTGGTCCACATCAGGGCCATTTTTTGGTTAATTTTCCATTTTAAAATAAATATCTTTTAATATTATTTTTTAATATTATTTTTAATATTATTTTAATATTATTCTTAAAAAATATTCTAAAAAAGAAAAGACTCTTCTGTTGGTGTGTGCTCTCATTTGCTGTCTCCTGCCTGTGTTTGGTCCACATTTGGGCCATTTTTTGGTTAATTTTCCATTTTTAAATATTTTTCAATATTATTTTAATATTATTCTTAAAAAATACAAAAAATATTCTAAAAATTCGTTAATATTTACAAAATTTCGTAAATACCAAAACTTTTTTGGGGGAAAATTTTGTAATTATTTTAAATATCGAAACAAAAAAACACCCCAATTACAAATCGATTTTAGAACCAAATTTTTTCTTGATCAACCAGGCCTAATTTCCATCATCATCATCATCATCATCCTATAGTGCAGATACACCCAGGATTTGCCTATGTGACTCTTACATTCAGTGAGTGTTTCTTTCCTTGTATTAATACCTCCATCATAGAAGACATCACCATCATCATCATTATCATCATCCTACAGTGTTAATGTACCTGGATCTGCCTATGTGACTCTCTAACAGAGATTGGAGATTGCAGTGAGAAGTTCTCCATTTGCATTAATATTTCCATCATCCTCATCCTCATCCTCATCATCACTGTTGTCATCGTGGTGCAGATGCACCCTGGATTCGCCTATGTGAACAGTCTTATGTCAAGAAAATTGAGAGTTTAATGAGTGTTTCTTTCCTTGAATTAATATTTACATCATAGACGACACCCTGCCAAGACACAAGTGTGTGCCCTCCACCTACGCAACTGTGAAGCTAACAGGAAATTGGGTTGTTGTAGGTTTTTTCGGGCTATATGGCCATGTTCTAGAGGCATTCTCTCCTGACGTTTCACCTGCATCTATGGCAAGCATCCTCAGAGGTAGTGAGGTTTGTTGGAACTAGGAAAATGGGTTTATATATCTGTGGAATGACCAGGGTGGGACAAAGGACTCTTGTCTGCTGGAGCTAGGTGTGAATGTTTCAACTGACCACCTTGATTAGCATTTGATTGCCTGGCAGTGCCTGGAGCAATCTTTTGTTGAGAGGTGATTAGATGTCTTTGTTTGTTTCCCCTGTTGTTTTGCTGTTGTGATTTTTGAGTCCTTTAATACTGGTAGCCAGATTTTGTTCATTTCCATGGTTTCTTCCTTTCTGTTGAAATTGTTCACATGCTTCTTGTGGATTTCAATGGCTTCTCTGTGTAGTCTGACATGGTGGTTGTGAGAGTGGTCCAGCATTTCTGTGTTCTCAAATAAAATACTGTGTCCAGGTTGATTCATCAGGTGCTCTGCTATGGTTGACTTCTCTGGTTGAAGGAGTCTGCAGTGCCTTTCATGTTCCTTGATTCGTGTCTGGGCAATGCTGCTGCGTTTGGTGGTCCCTCTGTAGACTTGTCCACAGCTGCATGGTATACGGTAGACTTCTGCAGAGGTGAGAGGATCCCTCTTGTCCTTTGCTGAACGGAGCATTTGTTGGTTTTCTTGGTGGGTCTGTAGATAGTTTGTATATTATGTTTCCTCTCACTTCTGCAGGAGTCTACCGGATCACCTCTCAACAAAAGTTTGCTGTAGACACTGTCAGGCCATCAAATGCTAATCAAGGTGGTCAGTTGAAACATTCACACCTAGCTCCAGCAGACAAGAGTCCTTTGTCTCAGCTGGTCATTCCACAGATATATAAATCCTTTTTCCTAGTTCCAACAGACCTCAATACCTCTGAGGATGCTTGCCAGAGATGCAGGCGAAACATCAGGAGAGAATGCCTCTAGAACATGGCCATATAGCCCGAAAAAACTACAACAACCCAGTGATTCCGGCCATGAAAGCCTTCGACAATACATTCAACAGGAAATTGAAAGTCACCTGGGAAGGTCAAGAGCTTGAACATTGTTTCCATCCTAAATATCTCGGTGTCACCTTAGATCGAACACTAGCATTTAGTAGCCTTGTGCTACTCAACTGCTGAGTATGCATGTCCTGTTTGGCATCGGTCTGCCCATGCAAAGCAGGTGAACTTAGCATTGAATAAAACATGCAGAATAATCACAGGATGTCTTAAACCTACACCTGTTGATAAACTCTACAAGCTGGCTGGCATCACCCCCCCCCCCCAATGTACAACGGTAAGTTGCTGCTAAATGTGAGAGATATAAGGTTGAACACTGTGAAAGCCACCCACTACATGGCTACCAGCCTCCTCCCAGGGGACTCAAATCAAGGAAAAGCTTCATGAGAACTACCACTCCTCTTGGCATCCCCCCAGCAACCGAAACCGTATCCCTCTGGGCAGCTAAACCAGGAAACCCCAATTCGATGGCCCCCCACGAGGGTCTTCCTCCAGGGGCAAACCAAGAATGGGCAACTTGGAAGTCCATGACTAGACTCAGAAGTGGAGTGGGCAGATCAAAACACAACCTGGCAAAATGGCGCAGCCTAAAAGAATCCCACACCTTGTGTGACTGTGGAGCAGAACACACAACTCTGCATCTGTATGCTTGTCCACTATGCCCTGCCTCATGTACAGAGGAAGAATTGTTGGAGGCTACAGACAATGCCATTGCTGTTGCCCATTTCTGGTCAAAAGAAATTTGGCCACCTGCACTCCTATTTTATTGGTTTTATACTAATTTATGCAAATTGGTATAAAAGCACTCATATACTTTTGATACGAAATAAAAATAAATCATCATCCACGTGACATCCGTCGGGAGGTAGCAGCCAATAGTGAAAGGACCAAGGCAGAGACATCTCCAGCTCATCCCTTGTTTGGGTATCAGCCAGCACGTCAACGACTTAAATCTAGAAATAGTTTTCTAAGATCCACAGAGACACTCGCTGGAACACCTCAGCAAGCGAGAGTCCAAAAGTGGCAGGCTCAAACCCAGAACCTCAACCAATGGCTGATACCAAATGAGAGACTCCCCCCTGGGCACACAGAAGACTGGGCGACTTGGAAGGCACTGAACAGAATGCGCTCTGGCACCACGAGATGCAGAGCCAACCTTCAGAAATGGGGCCACAAAGTGGAGTCCACGACATGCGAGTGTGGAGAAGAGCCAACCACTGACCACCTGCTGCAATGCAACCTGAGCCATTCCACATGCACAAGGGAGGACCTTCTTGCGGCAACCCCAGAGGCACTCCAAGTGGCCAGATACTGGTCAAAGGACATTTAATCAGCTACCAAACTTGCAAATTTTGTTTGTTTGTTTTGTTCTGTTAGAAATGTAATACAATTGATTGGTTGCCCTGACACGAGAAATAAAATAAATCCTCATCATCCTTTAGTGTCGATCAGGCATGGGCAAACTTTGACCCTCCGGGTGTTTTGGACTTCAACTCCCACAATTCTGAGCAGCCGGTAGGGAGAGCCGAAGCTTGCCCATGCCTGGACTAGATGCGCCATGAGCTTGCCTTTAGTGACTTTCTCACTTCTATGAGCATCTCTTTCCTTGACTTACCGGTAATATTTCTATCACAGACACATTTGCAATTAGGATTAATTTATTGGGATGTGAGCCCTTCTCGTCGTAACGAAAAAGGGGATAGAAGAAGAGTGATCCATGGGTGAGCACGGCAGCCCTATATTCTCCCCACGGTCCTTTCTTGACGCCTCTTTTCACTCGGTGTCTCCTTCGCTCAGCACTCCGGCCTCGATGAGGTAGACGCGGGTCTTGTACCCCCGGTAGGCCGACTGGATGGTGGTGGCGGCCGCTTGCTGGGCGGCAATTGCCCGCCGGACCTTCCATCCCCGCCAGAAGGACTGGATGAGGGTGGCTGCCCGAGCCACCTGCCAGATCTGCTTACGGGTCTTGAACACCCGCCGCTGCCCTTCGCCCATACGTCGGGCACAGTAGTTCTCGTAGAGCCACTCGGAAGTGCCCGGTGATGGTGCGGCCGGCTGCTGGAGGCTGGTGGAGGAGAAACTCCGTCCGGTGGTCCTCTCCCGAGTGATCCTGCTGGTGGTCACTTGACCTGGAGTGAGCCTTTGTGGGTCCCGGCCTTGCCTCCGGTGCTGCTCGTCGCTCACCACGTTCGAGTAGTACGATCTGGAGCTGGTTTGGTAGGAGACTTGGGCACGGTAATGGTGAGCCCTCGAGGCCGGTCCCGGGCTCTTCGAGGTCTTGGTGGGCAGACGCTTTGGTCGGCAGCGACGGGGAATGCGGCCTTCACACTCATCATCCCGGTCCGATTCGGATGGCGGGCCCTTGCCCACTCCTACCAAGACGCGGACGCCGGTGCAATGCCCGCACTGAGGGCACACCTTCGGCTGTGTCGTTTTGAGGCGATCTTTCTGCCGCTTGGGTATCGGAGCCCGGCCGCCTTTGCTTGCCCACTCTTCGGGTTCCCCTACCATCACTTTGCGCCAATGCTTCCGAGGGTAAGGGCCCATCCATCCGGTGCTGCCGGGAACGTAAGTGGGTGGGGTATAATACCTCTTCTGCGGGCTAGGAGGTGGATAACCGCGTTGTGCCAACTCCTGCCGAGTTTGGTAGCCCCTCCAATGGGCTTGGATAGTGACGGCTGCATTACGGCACTCGCAGATGGCCTTCCGGGTCACATAGCCACGGTAATGGGCCTGGATGACCTCCGCGGCATGGTCCCGGTCCTCCATGGAGTAGCGCCGCGGCCGTCGGACCCTCACATCCTCCAAGGAGGCCAAAGACGGGGTCCTCCTCCGCCGGCCATACATCTGATCTGACGGCACTGGGCCCCTCTGCAGGGCCAGGTACTCCCTGGTGATGAAGTGCCTCCAGGCAGCCTGGATGGTGGAGGCGGCAGCGTGCTCGGCCTTGAGTTGATTGCGGGTGAGGTGGCCCCGGTAGGCGGCCTGGATGGTGGTAGCCGCCTTGTCCATCAGCATGTCCAGCTCATCCACCAGGAAGGAGGAGCGGCGGCGGTTCTGGTTGTTGTGACGGCTGCGGCTATTACTCCGGGATCGTATCTTGACCAAAGGGTGTCGCCCACTGCCTCCATCGTAGTCGTCATCATCGTCGTCGTCCCCACTGTGGTAGCTGTGGGAGCACCACGTGTGGTCCTCAAAGGTCTCCATCCTACAAGAAAGGCATTTTTAGTGTGTTGCAGAAGACACTATTTGGAGGTTCATGGAATCCTAGAGATACCACCTTATCACATTGAGAAATTCCCCAGTTGTCAGACACTTCTGCCTGTTTTCAAGCATGGAGAGGCACGGAGCTCATCACATGAGTCAAACTACTTCTGGCCATCATGCATACTCCTGAGTGGTTGGAAAGAGACAGAAATGTCCTAAAAGGAGGAAACTCTAGCACTCAACCTCATCACATGGAGACATTGCCTCCTGGATGGGCACTTCAACCTCTATTCAAGTATGGAGAGATATGGAGCTCATCACATGAGTTAAACTACTTCTGGCAATCATGCATAGTCCTCAATGGATGGAAAGAGGCAGAAGTGTCCTAAAAGGAGGACACTCTGGTACTCAACCTCATCACATGGAGACATTTCCTCTTGGGAGGACACTTCAGCCTCTATTCAAGTATGGAGAGGGGTATGGAGCTCATCACATGAGTTAAGCTACTTCTGGCCATCATGCATAGTCCTCAATGGTTGGAAAGAGGCAGAAGTGTCCTAAAAAGAGGAAACTCTGGCACTCAACCTCATCACATGGAGATATTTCCCTTTGATAGGACACTTCTACCTCTTTTCAAGCATGGGAAGCACGGAGCTCATCACATGAGTTAAGCTACTTCTGGCCATCATGCATAGTCCTCAATGGTTGGAAAGAGACAGAAGTGTCCTAAAAGGAGGAAACTCTGGCACTCAACTTCTTCACATGGAGACATTTCCCTTTGATAGGACACTTCTACCTCTTTTCAAGCATGGGAAGCATGGAGCTCATCACATGAGTTAAGCTACTTCTGGCCATCATACATAGTCCTCAATGGTTGGAAAGAGGCAGAAGGAGGAAACTCTGGCACAAACTCATCACGTGGAGACATTTCCTCCTGGATGGGCACTTCAGTCTCTATTCAAGTATGGAGAGGTATGGAGCTCATCACATGAGATAAGTTACTTCTAGCCATCAAGCATAGTCCTCAATGGTTGGAAAGAGGCAGAAGTGTCCTAAAAAGAGGAAACTCTGGCACTCAACTTCATCACATGGAGACCTTTCCCCCTGATAGGACACTTCTGCCTCTTTTCAAGCATGGAGAGGCACGGAGCTCATCACATGAGTTAAGCTACTTCTGGCCATCATGCATAGTTTTCAATGGTTGGAAAGAGACAGAGGTGTCCTAAAAGGAGGACACTCTGGCACTCAACATCATCACATGGAAACATTTCCTTCTGGGAGGACACTTCTGCCTCTTTCCAAGCATGGAGAGGCATGGAGCTCCTCACATGAGTTAAGCTACTTCTGGCCATCATGCATAGTCCTCAATGTATGGAAAGAGGCAGAAGTGTCCTAAAAGGAGGACACTCTGGCACTCAACCTCATCACATGGAGACCTTTCCCCCTGATAGGACACTTCAGCCTCTATTCAAGTATGGAGAGGGGTATGGAGCTCATCACATGAGTTAAGCTACTTATGGCCATCATGCATAGTCCTCAATGGTTGGAAAGAGGCAGAAGGAGGAAACTCTGGCACAACCTCATCACGTGGAAACATTTCCTCCTGGATGGACACTTCAGTCTCTATTCAAGTATGGAGAGGTATGGAGCTCATCACATGAGATAAGCTACTTCTAGCCATCAAGCATAGTCCTCAATGGTTGGAAAGAGGCAGATGTGTCCTAAAAGGAGGAAACTCTGGCACTCAACCTCATCACATGGAGACCTTTCCCCCTGTTAAGACACTTCTGCCTCTTTTCAAGCATGGAGAGGCACGGAGCTCATCACACGAGTCAAACTACTTCTGACCATCATGAATACTCCTAAGTGGTTGGAAAGAGACAGAAGTGTCCTAAAAGGAGGAAACTCTGGCACTCAACCTCATCACATGGAGACATTGCCTCCTGGATGGGCACTTCAGTCTCTATTCAAGTATGGAGAGACACGGAGCACATCACATGTCCCAGGATCGAAAAGAGGCAGAAATGTCCTGAAAGGAGGGAACTCTGAACACAGGCCAGTTCCTGTCTCTTATCACATTTCACTCCCATGTTTACAACTGAAAAACAGATGCAATGGGAACCATCACAGCTTCCTATCCTGTGTCATTGCTCAATCAACTCTTGTATTCTATGGGCTTTGATGCAGACCCATAGGAACCCATGGAAAGAAGTGGTTTCAAACTGGTGCCAGTCTCCTTGAATGTAAAGGGCTTTGGGCAGGGTAAGGGATCTCTTGGTTTTCGGATATTTCTGTTCCTCCTGATTAAAAACAAGAGTAATTTGTTTATTTATTTGTGACATTTATATGCCGCCCTTCTCACCCTGAAGGGGACTCAGAGCGGCTTATATTATATATATACATAAATATATTATATTATTAGCATAGTACAATATCAGTATTAAATATTACTATATTGTACTATACCGTTATATTGTAATATTATTAGTAATATTACATGTAATATAAATATATAATTGTAATATCGTATTATTATTATTATTAGTAGTATTATTATATTGCATTACATTATAATATTATAAATATTATATGTATATACAATATATTATATTATTAGCATAGTACAATATCAGTATTAAATATTACTATATTGTACTATACCGTTAAATTGTGATATTATTAGTAATATTACATGCAATATAAATATATAATTGTAATATCATATTATTAATAGTATTACTATATTGCATTACATTATAATATTATAAATACTATATGAATAAACAATATATTATTAGCATAGCACAATATCAATATTAAATATTACTATATTGTACTATACCATTATATTGTAAAATTATTAGTAATATTACATGTAATATGAAATATATAATTACAATATCATATTATTATTGTATTGCATTCCATTGTAATATTATAAATACTATATGTATATACAATATATTATTAGCATAGTACAATATCAGTATTATATATTACTATATTGTACTATACCATTATATTGTAATATTATTAGTAATATTACATGTAATATAAATATATAATTGTAATATCATATTAGCAGTAGTATTATTATATTGCATTACATTATAATATTATAAATATTATATGTATATTCAATATATTATTAGCATAGTACAATATCAGTATTAAATATTATTATATTGTACTATACCGTTATATTGTAATATTATTAGTAATATTACATGTAATATAAATATATAATTATAATATTATATTATTATTATTATTATTAGTAGTAGTAGTAGTAGTAGTAGTATTATATTGCATTACATTACAATATTATAAATATTAATAGGAATAGTAATAATGATGATGATGATGGTGATGTTTCCGAAGTGCTAGGTGGACAGAAGCTGGGGCTGACAGCAGGAGCTCACCCTGCTCCCCGGATTTGATGTTTCCGAAGTGCTAGGTGGACAGAAGCTGGGGCTAACAGCAGGAGCTCACCCCGCTCCCCGGATTTAAACCACCAACCTTTTGGTCAGCAAGTTCAGCAGCTCCACCGAGGGCTCCTCAAATCCAGTTAGCAATTGACAATCCTCTTTATACATTTATAGACAAGTCCTTGGGTTACAAACAAGTTAGGATCTGTAGGTTTGTTCTTAAATTGAATATTTATTTATTTACAACATGTATATGCCACCCTTCTCACCCTGAAGGGGACTCAGAGCGGCTTACAAGATATATATATACATACAATATATTATATTATTAGCATAGTTCAATATCAGTATTAAATACTACTATATTGTACTATACTATTTTATTGTAATATTGTAATATTACTAATAATGTTGTAATATTATTAGTAATATTACATGTAATATAAATATATAATTATATTAATATTATAATTATTATAATTATTATTATTAGGAGCCCCCGGTTGTGCAGTGGGTTGAACCCCTGTGCCGGCAGGACTGAAGACCGACAGGTGACAGGTTCGAATCCGGGGAGAGGCGGATGAGCTCCCTCTGTCAGCTCCAGCTCCTCATACGGGGATATGAGAGAAGCCTTCCACAAGGATGATAAAAACATCAAAACATCCGGGCATCCCCTGGGCAACGTCCTTGCAGACGGCCAATTCTCTCACACCAGAAGTGACTTGCAGATCCTCAAGTCTCTCCTGACACGACAAAAATAAAATTATATTACATTACATTGATATATTGTACTACTGACCTTGTACTGAATGGAAGATGAATGCATTGCCAGCTCTTAAGTTTCCAACTGTGAGTGGGATGTGGAGGCAGAACTGCTGACAATATAAGAGGGGCGATACTCTATTCTTTAAGGGATGGTCACCCCATGCTTTCCTCTTTCCATGTGATGAGGTGGTTAGAAGAGAACCCCAATTGCCGTCCAGTCCAACCCCCAAGCCTTCCCAACAGATGACCATTCAACCTCAGAGAAGGGGACTCCACCAGCATCTGAATCGTAGGGTTGGAAGGGGAACTCAAGGGCCACCCAGTCCAACCTTGCCATGCAGGAATACCCAATCGAAGCACTCCTGAGGCTTTTAAGCAGAGGCTGAATGGCCATCTGTCGAGGGTGCTTTGAACGTGATTTTCCTGCTTCTTGGCAGAATGGGGTTGGACTGGATGATGGTCCACCAGGTCTCGTCCAACTCTAGGATTCTACAGATACCCAGGCTCCGCTCAGAGTCCTTTGCCTAACTACAAGAAAGGAGCTTCCATCTGAACATCAGGAAGAACTTCCTGACTGTGAGAGCCGTTCAGCAGTGGAACTCTCTGCCCCGGAGTGTGGTGAAGGCTCCTTCTTTGGAGGCTTTTAAGCAGAGGCTGGATGTCCATCTGTCGGGGGTGCTTTGAACTCTAGGATTCTACAGCCACCCAGGCTCTGCTCAGAGCTCGGATCCCGATGGCTCTGTTGAGCCCAGGCATGGGCAAACTTGGACCCTCCAGTCTGGGTGGCCATCTGTCAGGAGGGATTGGATTGTCTTCCTTCTTAGCAGAACTTGGGTGGGCTGGATGACCCTTGGGAGTCCCTCCCACCTCCATGATAAACAAGGCTGCCCTTCTCACCGGTTGTTTTATATTTCCGGCCTTTCC